CCATTTGCCATCAACAACTCCTTTGGCCCATGTCCAGCGCAAGGTCCTGTGTCCAGGTCCACGTGTTGGGACTTGATGATGTAGAGGTCGTCGTAGTACAAGGATGGCGCTGTCATGGAACGTTCGCCACTGCTGAAATTCACGGGGCAGCAACTCATCAACCCACTGCTCAAGATCACCACGGTCAGGTAGGTGTCGTGGTGTTCCATGTTGGTCTTTGAGCCAACTCTGCATGAGTCCATCGATGATGGCCTTCACCAACTCCGGTGGATATTCCTGGGCCTTGTGAGGTAGGCCACTGAGTAGTGGTTCATGAGGTTCACTGCAGTTGCACAGCTTCTGGAGGTTGACAGCTATGCAGTCATTGCTGGTGGCGAACAAAGTAGCCTTCTTGTTGAGTCCTCCTTGTCCCACCTGTAGTCCAAAACGACATAGATGAGCTTTGACCAAAACGATCTGGTCGTGTGAGAGGAAGCGCTCAACTGAAGGAAGCAACCAGGATGTTGCGGTGTGAGGATGTTCATGAAGTGAGTCATCACCTCTTGCCAGTTGATCTTCTTGAAGCTCCATGGAAAAGTCCACGTGCATCTTGGCTTCTGGCAGCTCTTCTTGGAGTCTCTCTGGATGTGGTCTGATGTTCTGCAGCGGTGAAAACTTGGTGCAAGGCGGTGATGTCGTCAAAAGCTTGGGTCGCCGCCGATGAAGTTCTTCTCGAAGGCTCTTCCGCTGCGATGCTTGACTCAGGTCATGACCAGTCACCAGGTCGACAGAGAGACTGGCCTTGAGGCCTCTTTTGGCTGCCGCTTCCACCAGACGTGGTGGGCTATAGATCTCCACAATGGCGTCATTCTCGTTCACGAGGCCACCAAAGATCTCGACAATGTCATCTGGCTCTTGCTCCTCCCAGAGCGTCCAGTAGGCACTTTGGTTGTGAAGCAAGCCATCCAAGTTCTTAACAATGTCATTCTTGGTGGACTTGGCCAGAGTCACCTCATGCTGGTAGAGCTCAGCATCGGAGAGGTAGTCGATGAAGTCCTTGGTGAACTCATACAAGGTCAAGTAGGAGACACGAGCCCCCAACTGGTAATCTTCGCCAGGAACGGTGGTGACGTGCACTGCGTTCCATTGGCTACCATCATTGGTCATCACGACCTTCCTGCTCAGGATCGACCGTGTCAGCACTGGTGCAACTCCAGGTGCAACTTCACCACATGACGTGGCTACATAGGTCGTGCTGTGGTCAATGTCCAGGGTCGTCAGCAGGTTCTGGAAGGTCTCATCTTTCTTCAAAATCTTCAGCTGTCGCAGCCAACCAGTCAGTTCACCAGGAGGTTGGTATTGAAGCGGCCAATCCGTGCATAGGCTGTCGGAATCTCGAACATGTAGGCTGCTAGCCCGCATTGCTCGTCCATGCACTGCATCTCCTGGTCCTCTGGTGACATTCCCGGTGCAATCTCCAACATCTCGCGACTGTGGCAGCGAGGGCAGAGAATCGTGCCCACTGCAGGATGAACTGTATCGTTCAGCTGTCCCCAGTGCAGAGAGCATTGGCTGTTGTCGCACTTCCACAGCAAGTTCATGGAAGGGCTGTGGCGATGAAGCATCACTTCTCCCGTCTGGCAATTGTCGCAGGATTGTGAGAGTGCCTCCGACAGGATCTGAGCCATTGCTTCGTGGGGATCGCCAATCATCGCTGCTTCGGCTTCTTCCTGCTCCCGACCGAATCGGAGGAGCTGATTGGCTACCACGTCGCACCATGAATTGGCACCGTTCATGTCCTGGTCGAGCACGTCCTCCTCCTTGATCTCGATCTTGTTGGCCATAGGTCGTGCTCGAGACTTGTAGGCTGTGAGTCTTGCTGAAGTCATCGATGCTGCTGCAGCTTTTGGTGTCTGTGCCATAAGTGGCGTTGAACTGTCCGAGGGACTGGAGCTTTCCACCTTCTGGTTCTTGGCTTTGGTCTTGCTCTTCGGGTCCTTCTTGTCGTAGAAGGGGTCCGGGATGAAGCAGAGGTGGTTGTTCCAATGATGAAGCTCCGTGAGAGGGGTCAATGGCATGGTTTGTCGTTGAAGGCATTCGGTGCATTCGTGATAGCATAGAATCCGGTTGGCACCGTGTTTGGTCAGGTGGTGGCTGCACATCGGAGACGGCTCCAAGGCAGGCACCAAGTACTTCCCATTGCCCTTCACCATGGCCAATGGCCTCACTCTCTCCTCCCGGCGGGCGGTTGTCAGCTGGCCGGATGTCATCAGCGAGGGCGCTGAGTCTTTGGCCTCTGAAAGAACACGTTGTTCCTGTTGTGCCAGTAGCAAAGCTTGTTCCTCCAGTCGTTGCCGGCGTTGTTGGATACGACGGACCTCCCTGAGCTGTGGAGTTCGGAGGACCTCTTGGAAGATCTGCCAGCACTGGAGGGCTGCCGATGCAAGCAAGCGCAGCAACAAGCGCCGCCAACGGGCCCATCGCTGCGAGGCGGTCACCATCCACCGGCCAGTCGGCTGGCCAGGGAAGCGAAGCCCAGTCCGGGACGGGCTCAGCGGACCAAGCTTGGCTTGCAGAAGCTGCAAAAGTCGTGGGCACAGTGAATCCTTGACTTCCAAAATCAATGATTGAAACTGCAACATGTCCAGTTGACAATCTCTTCATGTTCTGACTCGCGCCGATCTTCGAATACAAAATGAATGCACGCTCCATGTCGATCACGGCACCGAGGTTGGTGAGGAAGTATGCGGGAAGAAGAAATGGGATTGTACCTGGAACAACCTGAACTCTCAATACTCCCGAACAGGAACCGAGGCCAATGGGGACGTATGCAATAGATGTAGTTTCTTCTTTGCCGCATACTCCACGAACACTTCCCCCTGACTCTGGTGACCATTGAACCTGAATCCCAAAACGTTCTTGTAGGAGGTGGTCATGACGTTGAAGGGTCTCCAAACCAACAAGGCCGTGCTGAGCGGCGGTGTCCACCAAAGCCGTTCCCTCGTCCTCATGGACGGCCAAATAACAAAAGGAAAGAAAAGCTGCGGGCATGTATTCCTCACTCTTCTTCAGCTCAGGTGTCGTGGTGAGAAAACTACCACCTCCCGTCAGTGTTGTCGCGGGAGGCTGCACAAAGAAACCGGTGCTCATGCCCGTGGTGGATCCTGAACTCCTCGATGTCGGTGAGGCATGCTTGGAGCGATGTGGACACTCGCGGCTCCAATGTCCAACTTGTTTGCACTGATGGCAGCGTGTCTTGGCTTTCAACTCCGTCAAAGTGAGCTTCGAGCCTTGTCGCTGCTGCCATGGACGGTCATAGCCTCTTCCATTGCGGCTTTGTTGAAGTAGCCGTCGATGCTCCAAGTAGCCGCCACCGCGACCTTGTCCAAAGCTTGGTGCACCTGCTCCATAGGTGCGGTGGGCAGGGCTCTTGCTCTTTCCCTTCTTGCCTTTGCCCTTGCCTTTGTGGCGATGATGGAGTCGATGTTGAGTCTCGTAATAGACGTCTTCGATATGCCCGGCGACTGCATCCAAGGCATCAGCCTCGTCCATCACCACTGGAAGCTCATCTGGGAAGACCAGCTGGGCCTCATTGTTTTCACTCATGCAAATCAAGTCCTCGAAGATGTCAGTCTCCTCGATGTCGTAGGCCACATAGCTGGAAGCATCTTCATCTTCCCAATCATCATCAGGCTCTTCACCCCAGTACGAGGCACTGCGCCATCGCCTGGGTGTTCCAGGGTGTTCACCTCCATGCTGTTCATCCAAACGGTCACCGAAGACCTTCTGGATGGCCTTCTCCAAGTCGCGGAAGTCGATGCTGCCGTTGGTCACCCACCTTCAGCCGTTGGCGTTGATCCTGACTGAAAGCTCCTTGGCGCAAGATCAAGTGCCCAAGAAGATGTCTCCCGGCCGTGGTGGCCAACAAATCCAAGCCCTGCTTGCGAAGCTCTGCGAATGCTGCCTTCTTGTTCGTGAGGAATGCCGTCAATGAAGTTCCTCTGTCTCTTCGGCCTTTGAAGATGGCCTCATCAAAAGCTTGTTCAAGCCGTTGATCTTTGAGATATTCATGAGCTTCTTCTATCAAGCGGACAATCTTTCGATGTCCATCATCTGCGCAGATCTCCTCCACGGTGAGGTGGGCAACAAGCGAAGCCAACTTCGATCCAAGCGGGATCGAATCAATGATCCTCTTGCCGATCAGATTGGTGGGCAACCGTGCTTCGGCCTCGACAAGCCACAGGGAGAGATTCCTGTGGTATTCTTTGTATTGCTTCTCCGGCGCATCGCCTCCCCAGCTAGGAGCTGGGTCCAACCTGAAGTCAACATGCTTTCTTGGTTCCCGACCTGAATTGGATGCGGCCGGTGTTGCTGGCCTAGGTGGTTCCACCAGGTCAGCAGCAGCTCTGCTCCAAGGATCTTGTAATTCAGGGGGTCGGGAATCAACTTGTTGATATTCTCCCGAAGGTCGTGCATGTCCAGGAGAGCTCGAAGGCATGGCTGCCGTCGGTGATGTAGGCGGGGCCGCCGTGGGAGAATTCACTGATGTAGCGGCGGTTCCTCGCCAGGTGCGAGCCGGTGGTGGCATGTCGCACAAAAAGAAAAGGTAAAGCCAGAAAAGCGTCCCAGTCCAATGATCTGGTACTCGGTGGGCTCAAACTCAAAGTTTCTTTCCAAGGTCTCTGGGTAGGAACTCCCGGAAGTGGTCCGGGCCAAACAAATCTTCTTTCAAATCCTGCCAGCCGGGGGCGTCCCCCCCAAGTGAACAGGACCACTTCGCGGGAGCCCCCCGGTCGTCACCGAGGGGCTCCGCTACCACTGTCAAGTGGCTGGCGCACTCAAAGCATTTTCGCCATCGCTCGTGACTCAAGGCGCCTAAGGTCGTAGGCGAATGGGCATTCGGGCCCAAAGGGGATGCGGATCCGGAAACCTCTGGTGTGGGCCAAGCGATTCATGCAAATGGTTTGACACCGCGAATCATGTCAGCAGAACCTCCTCCCGAACCGACCCCCCCGGGCCACCTCCGCCATTTGATGCTGCTCACGTCGCACACCGTCTCGCTCCCCTGCGTGGAAGCGTCGGGCCCGTCGGGCGAACCCCCACCTCAGCGACCCACGATCCCCTGAAAGAAGAAAAATGGACCACAGGATCTCCCCACTCCAAAAGCACACGCCTTTAGGCACGCCCTAAGCCGCACGCTTGGGTTCCGTCTCCAACAGGTCTGGGGGGAGACCCCAGAGGTCTTGGGGTCTGGACATGCCTCTTTCCAGGCATCCTGATGCAGAGGAATTCTTCCATCACTACCCTTCGTCTTTCACAACCTATGCTCTCATCGTCCAGTTCCGTCGAACCCATCGGCTTGAACAACGAGGATGGGGGAGGATGGGATGGAGAATAGTTGGAAGGCACCGAAAGAAGGAGCGGTGCTTCCACGTGGCAAACCAATCCCCTCAACTGGGGCCCTAGAGTTGGTAAGTGCCAAAGCTCCAACTCCCAGACTCTCATGGGTTGATACATCCTGTCCAGGGTCACTGATCCTCCTTGGCTCTGGGGGATGGAAACTGTGGCTCGTGACCTCAGAGCAGATCGCTCCTTCCTCTCCAAAACACCTTTCTCTGATGCAGAGTGCTCACCCATCTTCGCTCCTCACCCCAAAAAGAGAACGTCGGTCGCTTCACACCTCCACCTCAGTCATTTCTCTGGCCAGCAAGACATGTCCTCCACGCAGCGCCAGCTACGTCAGCTCGACGGATGCACGGCCAGCGGCGTGTGTCTTCACTCCCACTGTCCCACTGGAGACTTTCCAGCGTTTTTCGTGTGTGTGTGTAACCCTTGGAATCAGAGGGAACCTTAAGGTGTGGAACAGGGGGCGTGACGGTCGATTTCCTAGTCACGCCAATGAAGCTATGGAAATCGACTGGATGGAAGTTTGGACGCAAACTTCCGTACCTGTTCCCTATTTAGGAAAACAGGAGGAAATGGTACTCGACACACTTGTGTGTCGGTGCCTTTCCTTCTGTTTTCCTCTAAGGCTACCCTATAGGTTGCAGGTAGGCCTCCAAACTTTGTAAGGGGTTTTTAACCTGAACTCTGGCCTCCACCCACTAGAATGGACCCCCAACTTTTGCTGTTTTGCTGTCTTGTTTGTCTTGTGTTTCTTGTTACCTACCAGCGAGGGCCCCCAACCTGCCTTCGACGGCCTCCAACCTAAGAGCGAAGACCTCCAACTTTGACCGCTTTGCTGTCTTGTGGTTTCGAGTTTCCAACCTACTAGCGATGGCCCCTCAACCTGCCTTCGACGGCCTCCAACCTAAGAGCGAAGACCTCCAACTTTGACCGCTTTGCTGTCTTGTGGTTTCATGTCTCTAACCTACTAGCGATGGCCCTTCAACCTGCCTTCGACGGCCTCCAACCTAAGTGCGAAGACCTCCAACTTTGACCGCTTTGCTGTCTTGTGGCTTCTTGTCTCTAACCTACTAGCGATGGCCTCTCAACCTGCTTTCGATGGCCTCTAACCTAAGAGCTATGGCCTCCAACTTTTGCACCCTGTTTTACTCAGGTTTTTTTAACCTAGGCTGGCGTGTGGCACCGCATTCAGTTCAGTACACAAGATCTCAAGTGTGTGTGTGCACGCGTTGTCGCTAGAACACCTGGACGACTTAAAGCTTCACAAACATGAAGACCTGAAGTAGGCATTGTTTGGACCAAGGAACCCACAACTTGATCGACTTGTCCTTCTTCCAAGAGATTTGGGGTGAACCCTGTTGATGAGCAAGAGGTACCAAAGCAACCGCCTCCCCAGAGTGATGAAGCGTCGGAAGGCTATTTGCTTGAGCCCTTTTCAGCTTGTTGTTTCACGCCGTTTCAACCAGAATGAAGGAACCTCCAAAAGCTCCTTGATAGAACCCTAAGTCTCAATGAGAATGAGTCGGCTATATATGATTGAGAGTAGATGGCACAAACCCCAATGTCGGTGCTTTTTGCGCACCCCCATCTGTTGTAAAGCCGACTCATGCTCCACGCCTAGGCGCCTCAAACGTGACTAGCCAAGTTCCTTGGACCGGAACGACCATGTAAAAGAATCGGAACAACCTGGTGGAAGAACCCATGTGTTCTACACATCCTACCCGGGTGCGGTTGGGTGTCTAGGGTTCTTCCGTAGGCTTCCGCGGGGCAAAGGATCATCGAACTGGACTTCCACTCCCAAACCACACTCAGCAACTTCCAGCTTCACATCGCACCCGTCCTCCCTCTGCGTCCTCATCGCACCTGGGAGTGCGTCCACTCGGCAAACCCCATCGCATCCCCAAGAGGTGAGTTCCAAACGCATTGCTTTGCGGATTTCAACCAAGCCCATGTCGTTCCCGAAGGACATGGACCGACCACGAAGCGACATGCATCTTTGATTTCAGCCTCTTGGAAACTGCTAGCGATGGCCGCCAACCCAATAGCGATGGCCTCCATCCTAATAGCGATGGACCTCCAACCTAGTAGCAATGGCCTCCATCCTAATAGCGATGGCCTCCACCCTAATAGCCATGGCCTGCAACCCAATTTCGATGGCATCCAACCTAATAGTGATGGCCTCCAACCTAATTTCAATGGCCTCCATCCTAATAGCGATGGCCTGCAACCTAATTTCCATGGCCTCCATCCTAATAGCGATGGCCTGCAACCTAATTTCGATGGA